TATATATATATATATTGCGTACATATGCAGACAGTAACAATTTTCTATGTTAAAACCATTTTCCGCCTGACTAATATATCATATCATTGACATGTAAGCCAGCCTGAAGGTTATCTCAATACATACAGGAAAAAAAAATTTTAGTCTATGTAAATTATTTAAAATAAAAATAAAACGAACAAAGGGATCTTCTCTCTTCTTTCTCTAATTTCTAGACTACTACTTAATTTTCATAAACAGTGTATAACGTAATCAAACGAACGAATAGTTGGATCTGAATTTCAATTAAAGTGTATTCCGAATTTTTTTGCAACTTTTTTTTGGATCACTGTATATTTCACGATCAGTAAATAATAATATGCACAATGCAATGCAAAACGCCATGTATAACTTCCGATTGAGGAACCTATGTCTTACATCTTACATAACCAGCTCGCCGTTGGATAAATTTTGTGCCTCTGTACATGTTTTGTATAACATGATATCAAGACACGATGTTATTTGAAGTTGTAAATTAATTCATGTTTGAACTAAAAAAGCATGTAATGTAAATTACATAATTTTTAACGATTTAATTTTGGATATTAATTAATATATAAGCGAATTTCAATACTGAATGTTAGAAAGTAATATTGATAATCATTTTTAGAGAGCAAAAGTCCGAATAGTAACAATCGAAGAATAAAAATCTCGTATCAATTTCAAAGAATAATGCTAATTATGATAAATCTCGATGTGCAACTTTTATTTATATATTTTCTCTATATTGCAAATTTCTGTGGACAAATATTTCAATATTATTATTACAAATTGGATTTGTTTGTAAAATTAAACAGACATATGTTAATATGCACGTTGATATTTATAAACAACCATAATGACAAATTTTAATTTCAAATTAAATAAACTTGTCATAATTATAGGATATTGTAATGTGTGAATTCAGATTTTCATGCACATTAAATTATTTTAAATGTCGTTGTTTTTGCAAAAATAAAAATTGATATAATAATAAACAATGATAAAATTTTCAAAATATATGATACACCAGCACGTAGTTTTACCATCAATAGTCGGCGTAAACACAATTATCTTTTATATATGTATATGTATTATTACGTAATAAGAGACTCTCTTAGGCAGATACAACCTTTGATACTCGTATCAATTGAAACTTTTCCCCCACTCTTTCTCTCTAAAATTAATATTATTAAAAATATCACTTCATCAACTTTTATAATAAAAATATAACATGCTAAAATAAAAAAAAATACATAATAATGAAGACATATATAAAGTCATCAACTTAATATGTCAAAGTATCACTTTGACAGTTAAGTACGTGTCTTTTTTTTATTTTTTTTATTCGAAAGTTTGCAAAAATTGCATTAATGTCAATTTTCTTTCGATTCTAATTCCAACGTAATTCAAAGGAAGTGAGATTGGATCGAAGAGAATTAAAATGAAAAATTATGGAAAAGTATTAATTATTACACGTGTGAGAGATTAATAATAATTAATAAAATAATTTTTTTAATATTTTATATTTCCATAAATGTCTAGTTCTAATATATTTGATCTATCTATCGCTATCTTGCTTAGACTTTAATGCTAAAAATACATTGTTTCGGACGTTTTATATATAGAGTGTCCACTATACTTCTATAAGAAAAGCTAAAAATATGATGCTAGTCTAAAAAATGATTCGAATAATTTTATTCACAAATATACATCCCATAATTGTGTCGTAATATAAAATGTCAATAGAATATATAGAATATTTGTAATCTCTTTTTACCTACTTAATTATTACGGATGAAATAAAAGACGATATAAATATAAATTAATATAAAAAAGAAATAACGTAATATTCTTTTTATATATGTAGTTAATTCACTTTTCTCGACTCAATCTACTTCCATGCACGGATTAATCAAAGCCACATTAGTTTTATATATAAATAACTTTTTATACTTGAAAATATATTCTTTTAAGAATATATTTTCAAGTATAAAATGAAACTACTGTGCAACGGCGGTATCAAATGCAAAAATGTCTAACCGTCTATGACCTAATACTTTTTCCAACGTATTCATACCTTCTTACGTCATAGAATTTTTCACGACTCTATACACTCCATCGTCGCTTTACGACATAGAACAACGTCTTAACTAACATTATGATTAATCGAATTTTAATAATTAAAGTCAATACTTTGTCTTTCTAGGGAAATGATCTCGCGGATAAAGAGAGGGGCGGGTCGGGAAGGCACAAGGACTCAATAATGTGGAACGCGAGCTATGTGACATACATTAAACGCTCTACAAAAAATACTTAGAACTCACCCCAACTGGCGCCAGTGCGCCCCAGGAACTGTCCCGTCTCGGAGTTCCAGACGAAGACCCGGAAACCCTCCCATTTTCCGAGCTTCGGCGGCGGCATGTAATACTGCTCGACCTTCTTGCCCTCCATCTCGCTTTATACGACGACGAATTCCCGATGGATAACCGCGCGCGAGATAGAGAGATAAATAGGGAAAGGGTGAGTTCTCGATGGGTGAGGAAAAAAAGGGCGGAATTTCTGTTTAAGAGACGAACGAGAGCAGAAAACGCCAACTGCCAGCCCGCGCGCGCGCGTCCTGTGATCCCTCTCGTAGGCTGAGGACTTCCTTCCTCCGGCGCTCCTCCGGAACGACGCTCAAGCGACCGCGATCGAACAGCTCCGCGGGCGAGGGCGCAAAGGAAGGAATGGTCGATTCGTCGTCGTGCCCCCGTCTCTGGAGGAGCCGCGCTGCTCTCGGGCGCTCCCGTCCGGCGAGGGGTTGGAATATATTGAGCGATCGAAGCTGGCCCAAGAGAGCTTTTCAGAGCGCGTACGTCTCTCTCTCTCTCTCTCTCTCTCTCTTCTTCTCCCTCTCCCTCTCTCCCCCTCGACTTCCCACCACCTTCCGCGTCACCACCAGGGTCTCCCGCCCCTCCACGATGCACCCTTTACGGCGCCGACGTGACCACGCAGACGCGTCAATACGCGATTTCTCCTTAACCACCCCTCTCGCGCAAACCCCCTTGCATCCCCTTCTCGTCGCGGATCCGCAACCAGGTGGCTCCGCTGGCAATGGCGGCCGACCACCACCGTGAT